GTCCAGTTTTAACAACTAGGTTGACTAATATTTGTTAAGTCGGTTTTCCGAGAACTGCAACAGAGCCTCCGGAGGCTCTGAAGGAGCCGAAGAGTCTTAGCCAATCAGAGCACGATGGAGCTTTCTAGAATGCCAACGTGGCGTGCTACTATTGGTCAGTAGCATAATATGTCTTTTAGCGGATTGGCCAAGATATGATGTTGATTTAACAAATGTTAACATCTATAAATACCCGTGTTTTTCTGTACAAAAACGAACCTTGAAGTAAAGTACTTTTCGCATACTTTGCGCCTTCTCTCTCGTGTTCAGGTCGCTGTATAGTTCTAGCTTGGGGGTCTTCAAGAATAGCTTAGGAATCGAGTATAGCGTTCTAAATCTCAAGACTTATCAGTGGCGACGGGGATGACTACAATGAATATTTCTTTGGAGCAGCTAGAAGCTTATATGGTGCGTCAAGAAAAGAGGTTTGAACAATCGCAAATCAGAATAATGGAAGCCTTGATGCAGAAATTGTGCCTGTCCCAACAAAACCCTGCTTCTGGTGAATCACAAATATCTCATACTGATTCAATCATAAATGCCATACATGAATTTAATTTTGATGGTGCAGCAGGTGTAACTTTTGATTCCTGGTTTAAGAAGCATGAAGATTTATTCTATATTGATCTCTGCAAACTTGATGACGCTTCAAAAGTCAGAATACTTTTAAGAAAACTTGGGACTGTGGAACATGAACGCTATAGCAACTTCATTCTTCCGAAGAATCCACGAGACCTTAGTTTTGATGAAACAGTTAAAACCTTGTCTCAAATCTTTGGAGAACAATCATCTATATTCAGCATCCGTTATCAATGCTTCAAGATAACAAAAGAACCGGGAGATGACTGGGTGAAACATGCAGGAATAGTGAACCGAGAATGTGAGAGATTCAAATTGTCTTCTATGAGTGAAGACCAGTTTAAATGTCTAGGGTTTGTGTGTAGCCTGCATTCACCCGAGGATGCTGACATCCGAACAAGAATCCTAAGCAAGCTTGAACATTGTCCTAACATGACCCTGCAAGAAGCACCTACCGAATGTCAAAGGTTAGTGAATTTAAAGCATGATACTGTGATGGTAGAGAACGGCGACCGGTTCCATCATATCCATGCAGTCGAGAGAAAATTCTCTCAAGGTTCCAGCACGCAGAATTATCGTGAAGACAAAAACAAACCATCATCTCCATGCTGGGCATGTGGAGGTTGGCACTATAAGAGGTTTTGCCCATATAAAGAACATTGTTGTAGTAAGTGCCATCGGAAGGGTCATAAAGAAACCAGCTGCAGGAAAAGAAACTACAAACGATATTCTGCAAAATCTTACTTCAAGAAACACAGGTCAGGAGCACTAACAAAAAGAATATTAGTATCACATAATCAAGCACGAAATGGCCGCCAAAGGAAGTACGTAACCTTGGATATCAATAAACACCGTATTCGCCTTCAGCTTGATACCGCCTCTGATATCACCTTAATCAGCCCAGAAACCTGGAGAAACATTGGGAGACCCACAATTCTCCCAACATCACAACTGGCACGCAGTGCATCTGGGGGGAAGTTAAATATTGTGGGAGAAGTGCCCTGCACTGTTTCTAAAGGTACTGTAACGACGAATGCAACTGTATACCTTACAAAGAAGTCAGCATTAGACTTACTGGGGTTAGATCTTATAGAGACACTTAAACTAGCAGACCATTCTATTAACAGCATTTGCAGACGAATCAGAGCTGAAAACACCCTACAGTGGAACCAGAAAAATGCTGTGCTACAAAGACACCACAACGTGTTTAAAGAAGGATTGGGAGAATGTACGAAGGCCAAAGCGCTGTTAACCCTAAAACCTGCAGCTACTCCCGTTTTTCGACCTAAAAGACCTGTACCTTATGCTGCCTTTCCAATAGTTGAACAAGAATTACAACGGCTTCAGGAGATGGGTGTTATCGAACCTGTGAACTCAAACTGGGCTGCACCGACAGTGATGGTCAAGAAGTCGAATGGAAGCGTCCGTCTATGTGCAGACTACTCTACCGGATTAAATGAAGCTCTAGAGTCTCACCAGTATCCTTTACCCTTACCGGAAGATCTTTTCGCTAAGCTGAATGGTGGCAGATATTTTGCAAAATTGGACTTATCAGACGCGTACCTACAAATTCCGTTATTTGATGAAAGCAAAGATCTCCTAACGATCAACATACACAAAGGTCTGTTCCGATATAACCGCCTACCGTTTGGAGTGAAGACGGCGCCCTCTATTTTCCAGCAAATTATGGATACCATGCTACAAGGTATTCCAGGGGCAGCAGCTTATTTAGACGACATCATAATTATGGCAGCCGACAAAATGGACCTGCAGAAGAAACTGGACCAGGTACTAGAACGTGTAGCCGATTATGGTTTTCGCCTCCGAGCGGAGAAGTGTGTCTTCTACATGCAGCAAGTACGATACCTGGGATTCATAATAGATAAAGACGGAAGACGACCAGATCCAGAGAATATTGAAGCCGTGAGAACAATGCCTAGACCTAGGGACATTCCTACCCTACGATCGTTCTTGAGACTGGTCAGCCATTGTGGTACCTTCCTCCCAGATCTTCACCGTCTACGTGCTCCACTTAACAACTTACTAGAAAAAAATACAAGATGGAATTGGTCGGCGGACTGCCAAGCATCTTTCGAGAAAATCAAGCAACTCCTAACTTCCGATCTCCTACTGACGCATTATGACCCTTCGCTACCAATAGTCGTTGCTTCAGACGCTTCTAACTATGGTGTGGGCGCAGTCATCTCTCACATTTTTCCTAATGGGTCTGAAAAAGCTATCTCACACGCTGACAACGACCGAAAGGAACTATAGTCAAATTGAGAAGGAAGCCCTATCAATTATCTTTGAAGTAAAAAAATTCCACAAGATGTTATATGGTCGACATTTTACCCTATTAACAGACCATAAGCCACTGCTTGCAGTTTTTGGGTCAAAGAAAGGAATTCCTGTTCATACAGCTAACAGACTCCAACGTTGGGCAACCACACTTCTGGGTTACGACTTCAAGATCAAGTATCAGTCAACTACTGCCTTCGGGCAAGCTGACGCGTTGTCAAGATTAATAGGCTCCCAATCAAAAACCCCAGAGGAAACCGTTGTAGCAAATATAAAAGCTGAGAGAGAAGTTCATCGCGTATTGGACGACGCAATCAATGGACTCCCTGTAACCTTTGAAACTATCAAGAAGATTACTGAGAGTGATAAGAAATTGAGCACAGTTAAACATTATCTCTCGACCAAATGGCCAAACAATCGCCTTGATGGAGAACTTTTGCAATATTTTCGTCGACGGGACCCACTTATGGTTGTTGACTCGTGTATTATGTTCGGTGATCGGATTGTTATTCCGAAGTTATTACGTCACAATGTTCTCAAGCAGTTTCACAGTGGCCATCCTGGAATCAACAAAATGAAATCGTTGGCTCGTAGTTATGCTTATTGGCCGTCAATGGATAAAGATATCGAGAATAAATGCCGTAACTGTCCATCATGCATTCAGGCTGCTAAAAATCCTTCGAAATGCGAACCTCAGTACTGGCCAACGCCTGCAGGACCCTGAGTAAGACTTCACGCAGATTTTGCTGGTCCAATCCAAGGAAAAATGTTTCTAATTATCGTAGATGCATTTACTAAGTGACCAGAAGTATATATCATGCCAAATTGTACAGCGTCAGAAACAATCCACAAGTTGTCTACCTTGTTTAGCTGCTCTGCAATTCATTGCAGAGTCGTTTAAGTATTTCTGTAGCGCAAATGGAATAACTCATCTTCGTTCTCCGCCCTATCATCCACAATCGAACGGACAAGTAGAACGCTTTGTGGACACCTTTAAACGAGCATTACTGAAAGGGGGAGGCGAAAGGACAACTGGACAGGTAATTTCAAAATTTTTAACATCCTACAGAACCACTCCGAATCCAAATGTTCCAGATGGTAAGTCTCCTGCCGAAGCTATGTTCGAAAGGCGTATTCGTACTGTTTTCAACTCCATGTTGCCATCCAAATTAGTGTACAGGCACAATCAAAATCATAATATGCGGAACTTTAATGTTGGCGATGACGTTTTCATTAAATCCTACATAGGGAAGAACCGATGGGAGCCGGGAAAAATTGTACAAAAATTGGGAAAAGTTCTGTAAAGTGTCCGAGGAGCTTTTGGAACATGTATACGACATACGAATCAAATCCATAAGGACAAAAGAACGTTATAGGCTGAAAATAACCGGCCGAATTTCCCGTTAGAGTTAATCTTGGACACACCAACGTTACATATGCCCAAAGAGACTGAAAAGAAGCCTCGGACAAGGAATACGACAAGAATAATGAGACGCCACCGCAACCCAGTTGTCAAGCTACAAGTAGATCCCAGAAAGAAGTCTTATTCGGGGGAAGGTGTTAAGTCGGTTTTCCGAGAACTGCAACAGAGCCTCCGGAGGCTCTGAAGGAGCCGAAGAGTCTTAGCCAATCAGAGCACGATGGAGCTTTCTAGAATGCCAACGTGGCGTGCTACTATTGGTCAGTAGCATAATATGTCTTTTAGCGGATTGGCCAAGATATGATGTTGATTTAACAAATGTTAACATCTATAAATACCCGTGTTTTTCTGTACAAAAACGAACCTTGAAGTAAAGTACTTTTCGCATACTTTGCGCCTTCTCTCTCGTGTTCAGGTCGCTGTATAGTTCTAGCTTGGGGGTCTTCAAGAATAGCTTAGGAATCGAGTATAGCGTTCTAAATCTCAAGACTTATCAATATTTTAGCTAAAATCTGGGAGTTGCACGTAATCCCATCCGACTGGTCGCAATCACTGATTGTCCTGTAGCGTGGTGTCGAGTTGAACTGAACTATGAACACCGCTACAAGACTACTTGCCAATAGACCAATAAAATTCCGATAGGCCAAAATATCAGAAGGCAGATGATTGTAGTAGTCGTATATATTTGTTGGCGATCTCGTGGTATCGAAAGAATACCGAGATCGTGCCAAAGGAGTACAGTTGCGAACGGCAAGATAAGATACGTGCGTAGTCCAAAAGCCGCGTAAAAGCAATGGAATTCAATGGAAGCCCAAAATGGCTGTTATTAGCACAGTTAAACAAACGAGCACAGTAAAACAGTCACTGGTACAATTGGTTATAATAATAATTGTTTTCATCGAACCAATCGTGTTCTGTTGACAAAAGTAGGTCACTACAGGAGCCCCCCGCTAGAAAGGGTTTACACTTTCGATAGTTAGCGGTTTGATTCGTGGGACTGATCGGCAGAATTGCGGTTGTAGGACGGAGGAAGTTGGCGGAACAGGAAGTGATCATTGATCCTCGAGTTGCCAACGAAAGTCTTTTGCGCAGAACGGTACCAGGAGAAGTGTGCTGTATTTGTTGGTCGAGTTAGCATACCAAACCAGAGTGGTTTGTATCCAGGATCTGATGATTGCGTTCGTACGGATGTGGACCAGAAAACGCTGCAGACGTAGGACGAAACCACGTTGAGCCAAGAAACCGGACGCGACCATAAAGACCAAGCGTATGCCAGGCGAATTCGAAACCAGATAATCGACTGAGTGCGTTGACTAGAGCATGGGTGGCCAAACCAGCTTTCGTCAAAGTTGACTGAAGTCGACGTTATCAAATGGACGATGGTCGGAGGCGTGGGCTCAGGATACAAAAAAAATCAAAAAAAAGAAAAGTGTAGCATGCGTGTAGTATAGGAATAATCCTACACCGTATCCATTATTGACTGTGCGGTTAGTCGCGAAAGCGTACGGGTAATCGTACTCGGCGACCGGAACGTGAGACGGTGGTCTCGTTCGTACTTCGTGAGCCTGCGATCTCATCCGAGGTCAAGGGCGGCGTGGTCTGCCGATCTGGACGTGAGACGGGAGTCTCGTCCATAGATGGTGCAGATGACGCGTGCTGTTGACCGGGACGTGAGAACGAGGTCTCTGATGTATCTAGCGTGGGATCCGAGGTAGACGTAGAGATCCCGCTAGAAGGTTTGGTAGGTCTAGCATTGAGTCTCAAGTTATCGGGTAGGGCACTGTCATCGACGTGTGCTGGTTTGAGACGATCAATGCTGACGATCTCGACGCGGCCGTGTCGATCAACCTTGAAGGTCTTTTCGTGACGAGAGATCACGTGAAAAGGGCCTTCGTAAGGCTGTTGTAGAGGTTTGCGTACCGAATCTACTCGTATGAAAACATGTGAACAGGTAGATAACTCTCGAGGGAGAGCGACCTGTCGATGTTGTATTCGAGTTGACACCGGAGACAGCGTTCGCATAAATGCAGACAGTCGATGGACGTAGTCTGATTTACCGAAATCATTACTGCTCCGTGGTGTGAAGAATTCCCCAGGCAGACGCAATGTCGTGCCGTATACAAGTTCAGCGGCGGAACATTGGATATCTGCCTTCAAACTCGTTCTGATGCCTAAGAGAACGAGCGGTAAGGTTTCGTACCAATTGTCGTTTTCGTGTGCTCGGAGAGCACTTTTAAGTTGGCGATGAAACCGTTCGACTAAACCATTCGATGCTGGATGGTAGGCGGTAGTGCGTATGCGTTCCGTACCAAGCAGCCGGGTCAGTGAGGAGAATAAATTGGACTCAAATTGTTGTCCTCGGTCAGTCGTGACAGTCGATGGACAACCGTACAATGCTATCCATCGTTCTACGAAGCGGTGAGCAACTGTCTCCGCCGTGATGGACGTGATGGGAATAGCTTCGGGCCATCTTGTAAAACGGTCAATGCACGTGAGTATGTGATCATACCCATGCGATGGTGGCAACGGTCCTACAATGTCTATATGAACGTGATCAAAGCGAGCATCAGGCGTAGCGAACGTGCCAATGGGGGCAGCTACGTGCCTGTGCACTTTTGATCGTTGACACTGTAAGCATTGCTTTACCCACATACGAACATCTTTATTCATGGACGGCCAGACGTATCGTGCAGCAATGAGACGTAATGTGGCTGCGATACCTGGATGAGACAATCCATGAAGGGCATCAAATACGAGACGGCGATAGGTAGAGGGTACGATGGGTCGAGGTAGACCGGTAGAAATATCACATAGGATAGTACCTGAGCTAGTAGCTAGGGGTACTTCCTGACACTGAAGGGACGAAGATTGTGGTGCTTCTGTACAGACAGGATCGTTTGCTTGTGCGGCGGCCATAGCAGGAAGATCGAGCACCGGTAAAGTAACTGCATTCGTCTGGATACGTGAAAGAGCATCGGCAACATAGTTCGACTCGCCTTTAATGTGACGAAGGTCTGTCGTGAACTGTGAGATATAGTCCAAATGTCTGCACTCTCGTGGTGAGTAGCGGTCAGACTTGGTATGCAGGGCATACGTTAAGGGCTTATGGTCGGTGAATAAGATGAATTGACGTCCTTCTACTGCGTGCCGGAAATGTTTGATGGCGCAGTAGGCTGCAAGCAGCTCGCGACCAAAAGCGCTATATCTCGTCTCCGTGGGAGTAAGGCGTCGTGAGAAAAATTCAAGGGGTTGCCAACTACCGGAGATATTCTGTTGCATAACAGCTCCTATAGCGAAATCTGATGCATCAACCGCTATACTAAGCGTGGCTGATGGGTCAGGATGAGCGAGAAGTGTAACTTCAGCGAGAGCCGTTTTGATCTCTGAGAATGCAGTACGTGCGGTATCGTTTAGTTCTAATTTGCGTGGATTACCGCGTAGTAAATCGGTTAATGGTCGTAACCGTTCTGCCGCGTGTGGGATAAAACGTCGGTAGAAGTTAACCAAAGCGAGGAAAGCCTTCAGTTCCTTGATTGAGGACGGCACGTTGTACTCCTTGATTGCTCGAATTTTGTCCTCGCAAGGCAGAATACCCTCTTGTCTGATGATGTGACCCAGAAATATTATTTCTGATTTACCCAACTCACATTTCTCTGGGTTGACTACTATTCCATTATCCGAAAGACGTTGGAATAATAGCGTAAGGTGTTGATAATGTTCATCTACGTTTGATGATGCGATCAGCAGGTCATCAATATAGACGTGAACAAAATCCAAGTCTCGTACTATGCTATCGATAAACCTTTGAAAAGTTTGAGCAGCATTTCGTAATCCAAATGGCATTCGTAGGAACTCAAACAGACCGAAAGGAGTCGTGATAGCAGTTTTTTCGATGTCTTCAAGAGCGACTGGGATCTGGTGATATGCTCGTACCAGATCGATCTTAGAAAAGATAGTCGTGCCCTTGAGCGATGCCGTGATGTCGTGTATGTGGGGGATGGGGTAGCTATCAAAGCGCGTAACTACGTTTAATGCTCGGTAGTCGCCGCATGGTCTCCAACTAACCCCATCCTTTTTGCGCACCATGTGTAAAGGAGAGGCCCAAGGACTGTGAGAAGGACGAATAATACCAGCAGATAGTAAATTGTCAAACTCACGTTTAGCGAAGGCTAATTTGTCCGGTGCCAGTCGGCGTGGTCTTGCCGTGACTGGTGGTCCGCGGGTGACTATGTGGTGTACCACACGATTGGTCACCGATGAAATCTCCTCGAATGGTTTAGTTAATCTGGGGAATTTCTCGAATAAGGCGTGGAATTTATCGTCACGCGAATAAAAAGTGCCGAGGATTCGGTACGCGTTTGTGTGAGCTTTAAAGCCCATGAATTTGCTGTTCGACGAAGTATCGATTAGCTGCAGCCTACGTGAATCGACTAGCAATTCATAGTGCTGTAGGAAATCAATACCTAGTATGGCTGTGGGAACATCAGCAATGATGAACGTCCACAGATACCGTCGTCGGTTGCCCAGGTTGACCGCGAGTTGTCGTGTACCGTAGGTAGGAATGGCTGAGCCATTTGCAGCGCGTAGTCGAAGCATTGTAGCTTGTGACTTGATGATACCTCGTGGTACGACAGAAACTTGGGCACCTGTATCCACTAGGTACCTGGCGTTTGTGCGATAATCGTGCACATAAAATAAACGGCCAACCTGGGGGGCAGGGCCGGCGAGTACGGCCGCTTTTACTCGCCGGCTTTGGAGTTTCCCGCCTTGTATGAGCACGGGGCTCGACAACGGCGGGCACCAGATCCAAAGGATCGATGAAACCAGCACCAACCTGCACTCGCTTCCGAAGCCGCCTTTTGGCGTGGCTTGGAAGATGCCCTCGTTGGGCGAGTGTTGACGGCTTTTCGAGAGCGTGAGCGGACTCGAGGGACGTAGGGTTGGGGTACGTTACAACGGTCTCGAAAACTAAGACGTGTGTGAATACACCCTTCCCTGTCACCTTGAGCCGAGGAGTGGCTGCCGTCGATATCGACTTTCGGACGCAACGTTGATGCAACTACGTAGTTGTCTCGATTGCCAGTCCTAGCTAGAATTTTGTCTGCTGTGAGGGCTACCTGTTTCAGTGGTGCGTCCTCGAGCAGGGCCGTAACTGTAGGTTGGATAAATGCTGGTAGAGATTCGAGCCACAGTTCTTTAACAATTTCAGAATCGGCTGCCGTGGGTCCTGCAAGAGATTGCAGGCGCGTGAGGTGGTGGCTCGGTTTAGCATCACCCAGGGGGTGACGTGCTAATAACGTCCTCAATCGTTCCTCCCTCGATGGGAGGAAATATCTGAGGATCGCCTCCTTGAGACGATCGTAAACATTGGGCACATTGGAATTGAGGACAACCTCACGGACAGCTACTAAATGGTCTCCCGGTAAACATTCGAGAGCATAAGTGTACTTCTGCCGTTGGCTTGTGATATGACGGGTCTCAAATTGAGACTCTATGGCAGCAAACCAAACTTCGGGATCGTGAGGAATAAAAGATACAGGTCGAAAGTGTATAACCTGTACGTCAGAGTCTATTACGTTAATACTATTCTTATCGTTATCCGTCATGTCAAATATATATATTAAAAATTAATATGGAAATATATGACAGACGTGGATAGATAAGCGATAGACTCACCAAAATTGACTTCTTTGGAAGGTTTGGTTGCGATTGCCAAGTGGTCGTAGATGTAGGTTCACCAGTTGCAGAAGATTTGACCGAAGTTGAGGCGTGTTCCAAAATTTGGGTCACCAAATGTAGCGTAGTGTCGAGTTGAACTGAACTATGAACACCGCTACAAGACTACTTGCCAATAGACCAATAAAATTCCGATAGGCCAAAATATCAGAAGGCATATGATTGTAGTAGTCGTATATATTTGTTGGCGATCTCGTGGTATCGAAAGAATACCGAGATCGTGCCAAAGGAGTACAGTTGCGAACGGCAAGATAAGATACGTGCGTAGTCCAAAAGCCGCGTAAAAGCAATGGAATTCAATGGAAGCCCAAAATGGCTGTTATTAGCACAGTTAAACAAACGAGCACAGTAAAACAGTCACTGGTACAATTGGTTATAATAATAATTGTTTTCATCGAACCAATCGTGTTCTGTTGACAAAAGTAGGTTACTACAGTCCCAATATATAAGAGGGTCAAAATCATCCTATGATAACCATAAAGAAATTAGTTTCACTAATATAATATCTAAAATACTAGCCTCAATAATTATCGGGTACTTAACAAAGACTCATGAACTTCAAACACGAGGAAATCTGGCTGGCTTCAGATTTGACTGCATTGACCACAAATTTACTATTCGTCATGCTTTAGGACGTAGGTATGCTTATTGCCGTCGGGCAATGATAGTTTCCCTCGACTTAGAAGCAGCATTCGACTGTAGACCACGGGATTCTGTGGCAATCTGTCATTAAAGGGTGTGAAGGCTCTTTACTCGAACATTACTAGTCGAGTCAGAGCTTATGGCGAACTGTCATCTGATTCCGCAACCTCATGTGGTACCGAGCAAAGTTGTCCACTATTCCCATTTTTGTTTGATTTCATCATATACCTACTGCTGGGGAAAACTTTCTCGTCGACTGAATTTCCGGACATTGATCTCCTACTTGCCGACCTACAATACGCACATGACAGTCCTATTTGGTGAGGACGCTGATAAAATGCTGTCTTCTGGTGACATCGAGCAACAATGCCAGGGTGTATGGAATGCGGGTCTCTCCCTCTAAATGCAAGTTGTTGCTTCAAGACTGACCTGCGAAAACAGCTGAACTAAGAATAGGGAGTGAAGTGGTCGGACACGACAACTTTATTTATCTTGGGAGTCTGATCAATCCTAATGCGTTGGTGTTTGACGAAATCTCATCACGGATTCAGAAAGGTTGTGTGGCTTTTGCCAACTAACGTCACCCATGGCGAAGGCGAGATATCCGTCTATCAATTAAGGGACGAGTATACTGCGCGGCAGTTCGTTCTGTTCTACTTTACGGCTGCGAAACCTGGCCATTAAGAGTAAAAGGTTACTAGTACTTGATCACAGCTGTCTTAGAAATATTGCTCGCATCTGCTGGGATCACCGGGTAAGTAATAGTGAGGCTAGACACAGGGTATTAGAGAATGATGGTAAATCGCTTGATGAAGTTGTGAATCTTCATCGACTAAGATGGTTGGGCCACGTGTTGCGTATGTCTGTACACCGATTACCACGACGCGCAATGCTCACTAGTGTCGGGAATGGTTAGAAGAAAGTTAAAGGCGGCCAAACCAAAACGTGGCATCAGTCATTGAAGTCACTAACTTCTGGTCTGAGCCATGTTGGTAGATGCAAACTACTTGGTTGGAGCTCACTCGACTATCGTAACCAATGGTTGGAGACTGTGTGACATGGCTCAGAATCGATCACAATGGCATAGGTGTATACACTCTCTGTCTTCCCTTAAACTATGGAACTAAAATTATTTCATCTTTCTTTCTACGAACTAACTTTCTTCCTGTACTATATCCTGAAATGCATTCTTTATTTTATATCTTACTACCATTAAAGTAACTACTTCTATGAATTTGGTGTTCACCTTTTTGTGCTAATGTGTGTCCACTTGAACCGATGCGTATATGTACCTGGTACTACATTGCAGCTGACTGACCCAGAATGAAATGACAATATTTTCTCAAATTAAATCAAATTAATTAAGGACTCATGAATTCCGGCAAGATGTTGCTCAGTAGTTAACATGATCAACTCGCAAATGATAAGATTTTGGATTTGGATCTCATTACCCTCGTCTACTTCAGTTGTAGCACGTACACACATTTTAAAATGTAGCTTATTAAATTTATTGCATTACTGATATATTGTCTCTAGATAAGAGAAAAACAAACCATTCAAGAAAATACGCGTAAATTCATTAGTCGTTCGTAGGAATTACTCTTTACACATACATTAATTAGAAATGAAACAATATGCTTACATACTAAATCAATCCAGTGAACTCATTTTTTAAGAAAAGAAATTCAACCAACAAACGATTTAACATAACGTGATGGATGATAAACGCATAAGAAGAGAAGAGCTGTAGCAAGGATTCAGTAGTGATTGATATGAAGTATGTATAAAATCGTTTATTTTTCTTTAATAAACAGAGAAAAATTTTCGATAGCGAGAAGTATACAAGAGAATTTACTATGTTAAGCATTATCATGGATTGGTTCTTTATCTGTTTGAATTGTAGTAGCAATATCATCATTACCGTCAGTGTTAACGTTTGATGATGATTCACCGTCTTCTTCTTCTTGTTGTTGCTCACGTGCATTATCCACCCATAGTCCACTATCAACACATCTTTTCATATGATATTCAGCTTGTTGTGGATCCATACTGCATAATACTGCTTTTAATAACTCAACATCTTTTTTCTCAAAACACTCTTGAAGATTCTTGTAGAGTAAGAAATGAAATAGGATAAAATTAAGTTATCTACATTCATTAATGATTAATGTTGTTAGAACATGTACTACATATGTAGTGTGCATAAACGAGGACAGATGTTATTCATCTCTATTAACTGGTTACGTATGAATAAATCATACTAAAACACAAATTCTAAATATGTCCACCATTTCGAAGCACTTGTACAAAAATATATTCTGCCTTCGAAGTTTTTTCAAGATCCTATATGTGAAACTTAAATACATAAACCAAAAGTGATCATTTATTCACCAGGTTAGTGCAAAATATCAACACAATTCACAGTTCGGATGTATCTGGGGTCTCAAGCAATTTGTTATGACTTACATAGACGTATACATAGCATTGATTTCAAAAGTAAAATTTATACTCTTAAACCGAACTCCAGTTGTTTGCACTCTATCATAATGAACAAAATAGTAAGAATTTTGAAAGATACGTATACAGTTTGTTATTTCCTGACATTCTCTGCATACGTTCCCATTAACTATTGTTTAGATAAAGTAAAAAGTCTTTTAATACCCAACTATTATCCGAGGTCTTCTGTGTTTTGACATAACACGCAGATAACGGCTGCCAACTCGTCCTGCAGTAAACAATCGTTAATGGCTGGACTATCATTTTTGGGCGAACCAATCAGATTTCAGGTAGCGCCTCCTAGATTTTGGAGCGGGACTTATTCGTCTACACGGTTATACAACATTCTGACACTATAGATGATGTCGATTCGTGAGGAAAACCCTAGTCCTAATTCCAAACACTAATTCACAGCCTTCAGTTGAACCACGTAAATGTTTGAAGTTTTCTTTTTTTACTTCTGACCCCAAATGTCCTGATAAGGCCGAGGGTGGGGAGTCTGTTCTCTCTCCAAATGCTCTCATATGAACATGCATATATTGACGCTGTCAGGGAAGTCCTACTCACTACCCTCTCATGACGGAGATGTTTACAAAACTGAGCGGACGAAATACGAATGTCCGGTGTTAAAACCGGGTTGGTGGGTACGAAAAGTTCATCTTTGGAAGTTCGAAACCTTGATTTCTAACTAATGGTCCACATGGATTCCAAAATCTTGAGAACAAATAATGTACGAACCTATTGCCGTTCACCGGCTCCGATGGGACTGGACCTCCTAACGTTGCTTCACAGCCTTGAGGATTAGATTAGTCGAAGGCTCGAGGAGTGCCTCTTAGAGAAACCATATGCTTCTACTTAAGCACCCAGCAGTATCCCAACCTACATATCAATTGAATAACAACTATTTAAACTGACGCATATATATTTCGGTACCCCTTTGTACTAATGTTGTGTTTAAATAAATAATTATCACTTCGGTATGGTTTCAAGTACGTTTATAAACTTAAGTCTAGTCCTGTTTACACTTAAAACCTGTGTGACCAATACGGTTTTTACTGAGTACTTAACATATAAAAATCAGTCTCACAAACTTAATCAGGAAGCTAGTGCTTTCATTATTTCTCTTAGGAACTGTAGATCAGTCGAATGAGTAAGCTGTAAAAAATTCATTGTAAAGTTTACACTTTTAGAAAACAACCAAAATTTACAACAATAAACATCACTAACCGTTGGTAACGACTCAAAAACTTCAACTGGATCCAGACCACCAGGACCAAGACGTTTTTGCTTTTCTTCCTAGAACGAAAAACATAAACTAGCCATACAGTCACACTGTGTTTTTTTTTTAAATTACTACGTAAGCGTGTCCTCCATGCACTCGATATTGAACTGCACACATGATTAGTGTAAACAGTTGTGTAATCATACTATCCGTTTGTTCAAACCAAAGAAAATATAGAGTAGTAATTTGCCATTAGTAACAATGAATAAGTTGCTTTATCAAAATGCCGTTAAGGAACTCGGTTTCCAACCAGTTGGTGACACGGATTTGGACCGTACATGACGTACTTTAATTTAATCAACCTTGACCAAACTTGACACAACTGAATTATCCACGAAAGATGAGTATACAAATCGTTGATAACTAAACGGGCTAACTCCATTTTTCATCATCCTATACCATACTAAATATGGTATCCATATTATTATTGAGTTATTGGAACAATATTTTCATATATATTAAAACAATTAGAATGTGATTTTACCTCTTCAATTTGCATCATAGCTTCTTCTAAACGAACTTTTGCTCGAGCTCTGATTCTTTCTCGGAATGCAGAAAGTTCATCATTGAAAGCTTTTTGATATTCTGGTTCAGGATTCTTAAACCTTAATTTATTCAGAGAGAAAAAAAAGTATCCAATTATGTATGTGTACACAATATAGAAAATACAAAGTAAAGTTGGATTGTATGATTGAAAGTAGAATCCACAACGCTAGACTACAGATGTACAGTTTAAAAATCTATTTACACAAATAACAGATTTGATCCCTACTTCACTCGATGAACTCACTATGTTTAGAATCACGTTGGTGGACATCTGCCAACAATACAAAAATAGTAAAGATATTGAAATTCTCAGTAGACTGATTGGGTAGAAACTAGAACAAATGATTATTATTGATAAATAAAATCACTGTAAAATGTCACACAAAATTTAGTTAAAGAAGTTCCTATCATTTTTATGGAGAAAGTGAAGGGAACGTACAGTAGGATCGCCACTGGCTTCTATTCTGAACCATGTCTGATAACGTCTCAAAGATAGTGTTTTACCAACTCCAAGATCCCAACCAAGTAGTCGTGAAGGACCAATTTTGTACATCTTTCTTTCATAAAACGACACAATGTTATGCACTGACTTCCTCTCCGCCTTTTCCAACAGGTCACAGCGTTGGCAAATAATGCACGATGTGGAATTCCCTGGGATGACATTCGTAGTACATGTCTAATCCACTGGAGTCGGCTTTTCAAGATGTTGAAACCAACTGAATTATCGTCTTTGCCGAAACTCTTCATTACTAACATGGTGTTACCAAGGTATGTCAGCCATCCATCAGAGATAACAATCATCAAACATAGAGAGTAGCTTAACATCCTCAATTTGGAGATGCCAAGTTTCACAAACATAGAGCAAAACTACTCTCATTATACTGCTTTTATTAGTTTCATCACTCATACCAGAGTATCTGAGCTCACCTCAAATAGAAAGGTTGAAATATCAGCAATCAACTTGAACATCATTTGCAATCAGTCATAACACAATCTGTTCACATTTCACATCATTATTATAAAACATGAATAACTTATTTTTTACACTAACTTATATACATATCAATATGTTTGACGTAGAATCATCTTCAAACTGTATAGTAGCAAATATGATATTAACAATTTAAGAATCACTGACTAATGGTCGTTTTCGTGTTTGTCTAGTCTTTTAGAGATGATTGAACTCTATCGATCAAGTTTCAATATGATCATTAGTCCAAGTGACCTAACATCGTGTACACTATGTTAGGATATAGTTATTAATATTATTAAAAATAATTTACTGAATCCTTAATTAATTTGAAATTATCAAGCTAAACCATTTTGGTAGTGATACTTAACATTTTATATATCTCAATAGTTGAGATCGTGAATCAATTGAATCTAGACCACCATGGAAAACCTGAAAGCACTAGACGGCCGTTTCGTCCTGCTGCGGGACTCTTCAGCAGTGCACATCCACGATCCCGCTTCTCGAGATTCGAGCCCAGGATTAATCAGTCTCGCGCGAGAACGCTTAACCACTAGACCACTGAACCGGCATCCCTTCTGATATTAATCAACATACGTTCACTAGTGACTGGCTTCAAGAAATATATCCTGGAGTTATAGTGAGAAGCAGTGACCAGTGGAATTCAACCAGGTCTGTTGTGAGGTAATAACCCACTGAAGACAATGGCTGATGTGTCGCTCAATTTCGTGGATTAGTTGAAGCTAGACATTGACACCCTTGGATGCCGGCTCAGTGGTCTAGTGGCTAAGCGTTCGCGCGCGAGACTAATAGGTCCCGGATTCGAATCTTGAGAAGCGGTATTGTGGATGCGCACCGCTGAGGAGTCCCACAATAGGACGAAACGGCCGTCCAGTGCTTCCAGGTTTTCCATGGTGGTCTAGATTCAATTAATTCATGATCTCAACTATTGAAATTACTATAATATCCACAAAACCCCTTCTGATTTTATATATCATTATTGAACTTACTTAGCAAAGAATGGTCGAATACACGCTCTTGGATCAACTTTTAGAGATTTAGCTAATTCAAGCATAAATTGCATCACTATACACTGATGTGAAACATGTTCCATTAATTCGAATTTCTATTGGAATTTTAAGAGGAAGAAAAACAACAACAGAATAAAATAATTATTGGGAACATTAATGATAATGATTGAAAACAGGATAAATAAGATTCCGTGACAGACTGAAATCACTTGATGAAACTATTGAAGACCGGTTAGCGTTCAGTTTATTAACTACCGTCTCCCACGTTCAAAGCCACTTTTTGGCCTGATCTTGCATAAATGTTATTTCCTTTTTTATGGTGTAATACGGTCTGTTTGGGTGGTATATAAACCAAGTATGCATGAAACAAATGATCCGCATAGTGGAAGCTGTTATTGGTGTTCTGGACTCAACTGGACGGGCTAGACGGACAAAAGACCAACAAGGACGCTAGGCCACTCATACCGGTCGCACGTCATTGATTTAACACAATACTAGGATTGAATAAGTCGTATTTCAACTGGCGAATAAATCATGTGATAATAAGACTCAACACACTTAGTGTTTAATTGGTAAGTCACATAGGTTACAATCCTGTATCATTTTATTCGCTTTAGACAGGAAAGATTAGTATAACCAAGACTCATACACACACACAAGCAGTATTACTCAAATCTGACTAAACATAAACCTGTATTTGGTTACAAAGATTCATGTTAATATTTCTGACATAACAAAACTGTAAATTACGAACATAAGGTACACTGAAATAAAAAATATACAAAAATCACTTGCTTACCTCTTCCATAGCCAAATCAATACACCAAATTACAAGTTGATTAGCTGTTTCTTCACATACTAGATCAGGATGTTTAACAAGAAAATTTTGTGAATCTAATGGTTTTTGCAATAGTCCAAATTTTCGTATAGCTTTATTATGTTTATTAACAAATTCTCTTAGACGATTTACTGCGGCCTCTTCGGAATTTGATGTCGAGTCCAAATTCTCTTCGTGTTTAAGTTTTGGCGAGTTAATAACCTAAATTTTCGAGTTGATTTGCATTTTTTCAGTGTAGTTTTAAAAATGAAAAGAAAAAAGAGGACCGTGAAATAATCAGACAGAACCCATTCTTATAATTATCATTGCTTGATATATGTATATGGCAAACAAATATGTCTAATAGATGAGTTAGTTTTTATAGGTTGATTAATAATCTCATTAAACTTATATCCCGTAATCATTTGTAGAGAGATGGTTTAATGGTCAGTTAGAGTATTCAGTTTTCAATCACTAGATCAAAAGCTTGATTTAGTGTAAAGCAGCCAAGTATCACTAACCTTTGCTAAATGTGTTGTTCACGGCTGAATACAAGATATGTACTTGGTAAATGAGTTACATTATGTGGAAGATAACTTGACAAAATGTACACATGTCTCAGGTTCTGTGTCGCTTATGACTGGCTGACCGACGTGTATTGATCCTTTAAGTGATATTTAATCATGTTTATTTTGTACTAAACATTTTTCACATAAACATATCGTGCTATTTTGATGTAAAACGATTCAGTTTGCTGCGTAGTTATTGTTTTTTTTTTAGTTTTTGCAAGCAATGGTCACTCGGTGATGTTTACAACATCAAGTAAGGTTATAGATCAGAATTCATAAAAGCATACTTTTTCTTTGTTAAAGAGATGTCACATTGATCTCATGTCATGTACTTCAAACGACTATAATACATAAACATATTGAATAACTAGTTATCCAGTGTTCACCTTAACCTAACGATGGACATGTTATATCCTAAGTTATATTATTTAAAATAAGTGCAAAAATCTACAGTGATTAAAGCTTCAACCCTTGGAAGTTAACGGAGTAACTACCCAACGCAATCTGTGTTTATGTGTAGTCCTTTGATTGAGTTCAGTCTAATATAAAAGCTAAATCCAAGAAAAGATATGACTAAAATGCCGTTTAAATGATGTAATGATCACTTTTCTTTTTTGTGATAATGAAAGCAATGTCGACCAGCTTATTCAGTCAAACATTATGTGAGCTTGATCGACTAAAAGGATCCTAGCAACTCTCTAATAATTCATGAAATTATTATTTCATTCAATCATATTGGCTGTTTTATTAAAAGCAACAGTGGGTTAGTGATTAAAGTGATAGGCTTTTAACTAGTAAATGACAAGGTCAAGTTTAGTGTGATTTTTATCAACTTTAGATTGGTCAGGCAGGTAGTATCAATTGACTCTACATAAAAAAAGTTAATGATAAACTGAGTACATGTGTACTTCATGAATGGTTTACAATATATTCATATAGTTTCACAGAAAAACTAACTAGTTTCATGACAAACAGATAATTTATGTTGATTTTTAAATTTCATAGCAATGAATTTTACGTGGGTTTTGTACTCAGACATTGTTAAAAAGATTGCTTGTATGGAGTGTTGAGCTTAGATCCAAGAAAGGATGGTTGTGTAATACTCAAGAATTAAATGTAATTGACAAGTATCTACTAGACAACGGTTAACCACAAACGTTTATTAGAAAGTATGAGAATACAAAAAAGGAAATGGAATTTGATAGTCTAGAAAAAGCCAGTTAATTTACGACTTCAAATGTGATGAAATAGCTAACATGATTAATTATAGATTGTGCTGAACTGAAAAGGATATATCTAACCACTAAACTAGTTTAGTTGCATCAAATGAGTTCTTCATTGAGACAGACAAAATTGGACTAATTCTTGCCTCTTATTACATGCAACTGTATTTACCAGTTTATATGTTCATGCCAAAGCATTTACATCGGAAGAACAGAAGGCAAAATACTTGTTCGGATCTCCGAGTACATTTCACTGGGGTTTTTTTCTAAAGTGCTATTCTCTGTCATCCATTTGGTAGTGAACATTAAACTGACAATTTAAAACCCTTCAAAATACTTAATAATCAATCAACTTTGAATTAGATACACTACGTCGAGACAATCACTACTAAAAAGTTAGAACCATATCAATGTATTCAAAAAGAAACAATTGCAAATCTTTTACCATCCTAGTAACTTATATTTTCATTACTCAACTATACATCTTTCATATTCTGAATAAAACATTTGATTGTACGTCAATTTTTTTCCAGAATTACACATTCAGTAACACAAATATTCGTTAACTTTACTAATTTGTAATTCTTCCACACGTGCTGTTGTTATTTTACTAATCTTCATTAATATTATATGAAGTACGTGTATTGGTTGCAAATAATTGTTACTATTGTTTCTAGGTTGTAAGCAGCTGACCTAGAATACATGAAGTAAATGAATTCGTTTTATTCTGCTACGCTTCTTGTTCTGGCCTTAGTCACAATGAGTAACCACTACATATGTTTGCTGTTAGACCAATTATTAAACCGGGATTCGTATAACCGTGTAGCTGTGTGAACAGCAGAGACTAGGAAGGCAAAACCAACATTCGCATAAGGAATAGCATACATTAATCTGATCCACTGTTGGCCCAATTATAATAAACTGGTTGTAAATGCTTATGTGACCAGTCCTCGTCGAAATCTGAGAGACCTGATTATTTCTAGCTAAGAATTCAAGACCATAACTGTCTTCATGGGTATGCACTGACTCAGTGGTGACACAATGTTCGTAACTCAGATGTCACAAGGTTTTTGACTGCAAAGAATGCTTTTAGAGCATTTAAACCATTTTAAGCAGTCAACTTAGGTAGATTGAATACGCTTTAAATACAGTATACTCTGGTAAAAGTAACGATAGTTAGGTTGAGGTAACATGTATTAGTGAACCACAACTCACTGGATGGAAGCACGTAAGTCGTGCAACTGAGTGGGGTGATACCAACAGATATTTTCCTGAATCTAATCTAGTTGTGATCTAATATTAACACACTAACATCTGTGTTGTTTACCTAAAAACAATGACACTGACAGTTTATTAAACCCACTTTACGTTCTCTTCATAACGCCTCACATTTTTTGTGACGTGTTTTCCACTATATACACTACATCAAAACCTAAGTTTAAATAGAAAATTGGTGCATAAATAAGCATCGTATTACAGATAGTTTAACACATCCAAAAGTTTAGAAATGCAGTGTTAATTTTTTCACAAATGTTTGTGCAACTTACCGTCTTCGATTTCGCATCTTTGCAAATTGTATCAATATTTAAAGGTCTAAGCTGAATTAGAATTCATAGAATATTATTTGAACAAAACCTACTCGTTCTTTCTTTTGTATTTCAGACACTTTCACTGACCAGTCTTTAGCTTCCATTTCGAGTTCATCGAACTTTTTTTGCAGCTCCTGTATGTTGTCTGAACCAGTCTGTCCCAGTTAAATAAAAATAAATATTTCCACAATTCAAACCTCCTTAGCTTTATTTAATTTCTGTTGTGCCTCATTATATTTACTTAGAAATGATTTATAATTATCTTCGAACTCTGCTTTTTCTTTCTTCCAAGCAGCATCTCTTTCTAGGCGTGCTTGATGTCGCCATCGAAATAAGCTAGGTGTGTCTATATTTGGATGAGTATCATCTTCATCATCAGAAACCTATATGAAAATAAAAACGTTACATTACAAATAATCTTTAAAAATTGACCAGTTATAATCCCCTTCGCCTAAAAACAAACATTTCTGTACATGAATACGTATATCAGTGATATATATATATATATATATATATATATATATATATATATATATATATATATATATATATATATATATATATATAGTCAGTCCTTCGCAACACAGAACCTGAGACATGTACGTCAGTTAAGGTTACCGCACCACACTAGCACAGCGATATTATCGGGAAGAATTTCACAGCAGAAGTAGTAACGGTATCAGTATCAAAAACAATTAGGCATACGAAAGGAAGGTATAAGATTTTTGGACCTAGGTTCTAGAGAAAGAGTGAATACACATACACGCCGATTGTGAACTATTCTGAGACATGTCAAGTCTCCAATCGTTTCTTATGATAATCATTGACCCAAACCAGCCCAGTTCTGTTATCAATGACGATAAACTAGCGCTACATCTTGGTCTGACCGACCCAAGCTTTCTCCCGGCCTAATACAACAAACGTGGTTGAGCATACGTAATACTTCCTAAAGTCTATTTATTTGTTTGGATACAAATATTGCTAGAAGAGGGCACCAGATACATATGGTCCTAAAAGATACTAAGGCGACAGAAGGGATAGTGCAAGATAATTGTCTTTTATCAGAAGTTAGGTATGTATATATATGAGTGCAAACAGCTTCAAAGACACGTAGAAGATCGAAACATTGTTGTTCTATATGTCATCAGGTCGTTACTTTATGGTAAAAGAACTAGGCTACGATTGTGGAGGCCAAGCAGTATTCCAGCCCTCACACAAATCAGATTATGAAGTGTGACGTATATGTATTTGGTGCCTCCTTTTACCAATGGTTGTGTTTAAATAAATGAATCATGACTAAAATTCAAGCATATAATACTGTACGTAGTGTAAACAAGTCACATTCTCAACCAACTGATACAGTCGCAACTATCCATTTATTTAAGGACTGAAGTTACATACATCTAGGTCCCAATCTGTATGTTAACCAATAAGCGAGTAAACTGAGAAGCAATCTGTTTCATATCACCAAATGTCCTTCAAAATAGAAAACATCCGTGAGTTGTAAGTATTCAATCACAGGCGTCTTCGAAGAACTGCTAGCACATGGTATGCAACGATCGATCCAGTAGTGTTGAGATTAGACGGACAATACCATGTAGATTTGACAAGTCAGCTGACGAGATTACCTTTCAGAGAGATGGTAATCACACCTATTTCATCTACCCTGACAAAATGCTGACTGGCATCCAAGTTGAAAATAAACTACGGGTGGTAGGCCGATACATCCCAATTATACATGTTGACGCTCATTGCTTATCTCAGTCTCGTCACGACACGCGAAATTTCTGGTTGGTGGTTGAGCAATAGTCTTGAGCTGCAGTTGGAAACGGTATGGTAAAGAGCGAAATTCGTCGTGATGCCCCAGTCACACTAATTATGTTCTCTGAATCCATAGATCACCACCAACTTTGACCTTCAGTTTCGTGACCGAACTTGTATTTTGACTGTATTTTTATGTGCACACTCTCATTACAGCTATTAATGATTTCCCTTCCATCCCAACCTTATCGAATTCTCTTTGTTTAAATTTACGTTAAATTTATAATCCGAGCACTCACAAAACTGCCTGAACTATTTGGCTTACCTTCTTGCTTGAAGAACAGTTGAGGACGTTAGTAATGCTTACACGTGAAACTTTCTAATCATTAAGATAAAGACAAAATGAATTTACTATTTTCCGGTTTTCCCCATCTAAACTGGAACACCGATGTGTGATCACTTATGAATAAACACTTATATTATTTGAAAGATAATGTTGAGACCATAAGGCATTTTATTATTATTTGGTGAAAGTTAGTACTGACAAAGACAGTACCAGAAGCATCAAATCCCAGAAATTAAATATCGCATCACGCTGAAAACTACATTAGTTACACGTAAACACAGATGACGGTGAAACAGAAAATGTAAAGAATAGTTAAAGAAAAATACAAACCTCGATGTGATCCCACTTGCTGTAGTTGAGACGCGACATCCTCAGAAACAAAATGCAAGGAAAAGCTTAGAAGCTTTTTGAAAATCCGCTAGATTTACAAACACCAATAAACAACATAAGCTGCAACAGTTACAGTTAATGATTGAGTGAAACCACTGTTTTATTACTATCCTCAAAGTACAAGAGTTCTCTAGTTGATGAAACCTCAATTTTGGATGTATAGCTATTATTTAGTGCTATGTAAATCCACTATCTTTGTCACGAGCTCGCACGAACAAATTGATTCCTGTGCGTTCGGTAGGGTTCGAGATACTCGTTAAGGTACAGTGGATTCTAGTCTATCCACTCGACTTCATTAATTCTCTTCATTTTGGTATTTATTTGTGCGTATGTTTATCGCGTGTTTCGAGAGAGTGAGTCTGTCTCGGGGCATTACGGATCCTAGATGTCAGAAACTATCACATTGTTGGACAGGAGGTCAGTTGGTTGCAATAGTAAAGTGGTTTTTCGAGTGCTATGAGAAGACAGATGTTCTAGGAATAACAAATAAGTGAGGTATTTGGTAATGCGGACTGTGTGAGGATACCTAATCGAAGGAATAGGAAGGGAGACAGAGATGGCAGTGAGAGGCGGGTGAAGAAGTTACTGATGTGCGGTAGTGATAACTGGTAACTTACAAGTCAAGAATCAGACCCAACTGGTTCTAGATGGTGAGTACGTGTTTGTCAAGTCTCCTCTTAATGCCATCCACTCGTTGGTTCGTAGTCACTTCAGCTAGGAGAGCGTTCCAACCGTGGTCGACTGTTGATGAGAAAGAGTGACAATGTGTCTGGGTGTTCGATCTTTGATATTCAATCATCCGAGTGTTGTCTGTCGGAGCGTGATTGCGATGCTCCCGTAATGTGTGCGTGTTGAGATGGTTTAGAATGCCTGATATGTTGTACGCTATAGTCAGACCATGTCTTTTTCTCTAGTAGCTCAGCAAGAATAATCCCATCTGTCGGAGTCTGTCCTCGTTCGATCTATGTTCTAGACCTATCGTCCACTTGGTTGTCCATATCTCCAGTTGAATTAAGAGCTTTATGTTGCTTTTGAATTGTGGATTTTCGTGGGGAGTCAAATTACTCAAATAAGGCAGAATGTTCATTACATGACACTTCGACAGATAAAGTTTTAAATGATTGTCCACTGCCAATTCCTCCGTTGTTTCAATATCATTTAAATACACAAATGAACCCTTTACGCCTTTTACGGAACTCCAGATCTTTGTGTCGTGTTCATAGATTAGTGTCACTGGGCGAACTTTAGCTAACAAGCCACCAATAAAGATCAGGTAGAGGATTGAACCTGAGATTAATCCTTGTGAGACCCTGATGCTTAGACCCTTCAACTCGCGTGCACTCTATATGTCTTGATACGAAAAATCCTGACCACCGTGTATTTTCAGAGCCTGGATAAAATTGTGTTAGTGAAAATTATCGTTTTGCGATCTTAGAAATGAGAAACACGTGCAGTAGTGTGTCGAAGATATTTGCTAGATCGGAGGCTGTTGTCCCTATTCATGTATTTACACATTTGTTTATTTATCGATCTTTCCACTACGTTCGATAATATTTGAAGTAACACGACTGGTTTGTCACTGTCTAGGGCTTTTCTATCGCCTCCTAAGAGGATAAGGAAAAGTGGTCTGCTTCCATCCTAGTGTATATAGCGAGCGACTAAACAGGTAACACACTGGTATGTTCATGGATTCAGCACTCCATTTCAGGATTATGGTTCTGATGTCGTAACACCTTTTTGGCTTCCTTCGGAGCAGGGATTTCAGCCTCCCTAATACTAAACCGAGAGTTAGTTGTATAATGCCCAGACACTCAACTGGGACTGCAGGTGAGACATGTTTCACGTCTGCGTGCTCAGGATGGTAGTAAGGGTCTCTACCAACTCTAAGCTAGTGAGATCCTCGCCATTTGTCCCTTTCAGAGTACAGACACCCTGGTTTGTAGGCTTTCTCTTGGCTATGAGTTTTTAGAGACATTAGGGTTTGGTTTTCATTTTGTCTGCCAGCTTCGCCTAAAACAGATTCTATCGCTTCGGATATTGACGCTGCGTCTGTTTCTCAACGCCAAGTAGGAACTACGATCTTAATCCTTCAGGGCGATCTCCCACTCGTACTAGGCTCTTCGTTTGGCTTTCAGCAAACGTTTTGTGTCCTGCTAAACCCAATGTCTTCGCATTCTAGGTATTTTCCTTGCCTCAGTTACATTGTGTAGGAGAGTATTTCAAATGATCTAACTCACTATCTGCTAGTGGTCGTCCACCTCTAAACCCCACCATCCTCGTGGCTACAGGGAGTTCTGAAGATGCTCCCTTATCGTTGTGTGGCCTGCTCTAATGTGGCTAATGTGGGGCATATTCTCATTCCGCCGTAAAATTTTTTAGCGACCACGTCCTAGTTTTGATGATAATAAACTGATTTTGGGGCCGTCGTCGGTTTAATGAGATCTCGAAATCTAATTTTTCCGAATGAGATATTAGTGAGTGTTTGCCAGGTTCAAAATAACAATTTAATAAACTAGGAGTACTAATATATGAATATCATATCTCCGCATTTTTGGATCACTCAGTTTCTATACGCATATGCTCGCCACATACAATCAGTTTAACGTTGGCTAGTTGGCTTTCATAAAAAAAAATTTGCCTCTGCTCAACATACTATAGAGATTATTAACAGTTCATATTCACGTAATATATTTCAAATATGTGAAAAAGTACAATTTAACGAAAACGTTTGTTCTTTGAATTGGACTATTGGGGATTTCAAACTATAACTTCAGATACAAGTGTGATTTCGGGGAACAGTTACATCTCGAACTTTGTGGCTGCCTGGGTGCTGGTATAAACGATTCTAAACCAGAGAAGCAGCTCATACTAATCCATTCTTGAATTTCTCAGACAGCTAAGAACTTCTGTTTTAATTGTAAAGTTGTTGGTAATGATTATCATGACGCTTTTATGAAACGACATGAACTCGTATTATCAAACGTGAATAAATCTAATCTACCACAGAAAACTCAGGTTTATTTTAACAAGAACCACTAACGGAAACTTTTCGTTTCTTTATAATGATGTCCATTGAAAACATGGCAAAGTCCCCCTGTACTTAGGTCCAAGAGCCTTAGATTACCAAATGTTCGGATATCCCTGAACACTAATTCTATCGATAGCGCCCTAATCAAAGATACGGTCTAACAATGCACAAAGGCTGTGAAAAGTATCGAAATGAAACTCAGACGCTTAGAAGTCAAGAGATAGCCTGTCTTCTTGAGACATAGACTAGTTTCATACTGTTTAAGACAAATAATGAAGAATCACTTGAGAAAATTTGTTGGAAATTTTGTATTAGTTTTAGCTGAACTACCTAATTGGGCCACGACCACTGGAGTTTCATTAAGAGCGGGTGTGAGAAGCTTCTGGAATTTGTGGCGAATATCATCTGGCGTCTAATACCCGGATTCTGTAACAGAGTCGTAACACTGGAAACGGACTAAGGATGCAATATGAAGAATACGCGTTAAGAAATCTTTCTAATTAAAACTGGAAATGAATGCTTACAAATCCCACTGGATGAGATCTCTAGTTAATTAACCAATATTTATACAATATTTGGGTGTTCAGAAGTGGATTCTTACCGTTCGGATTCAATGTCCACCTCAGGGATATTCCAGAAGTTTAAAGATCGCTTTATCATCAGTCTTGATAATATTGAATTGCATCAGTATGATATTACAGTCAGTGCTGATATATTAAGTTAAATTATTAACGTCTTTTAAAGTTACGTAGACTCTTTTGTGATACGAAAATTGCCGTAAATCAATCTAAGTGTCAATTTCAACTGAATTCTATCAAATGCCTAAAGTGAACTGCACATGCTAAGGTTTTTAAACTTGATATAATTCACCTAGCCTAACTAATTCAATCAACGTCACCTACGAATATCATAGCACTCAGATCATGGATAAGTACTCTTCACTTTTATTCCAGATTTATTCTAAACTTTGCTGAGTATTATCTCCGCTTTTTGACTTGCTTTATAGCAAAGAGTTTGTATGAGAACAACGACCTGATGATATATGATGGAACGCTCTATAGTTTTTAAATGTTGAAGCTTTCAGCAGACCGCATTCATCGAGTAAAAAGTCTATTCTTACTGCTGATGCATCTTCATCGGGTTAAAATGCAGTTCTAGAACAGAGTGGGAAGCCTGTTATTTTATTTCGAAACGACTAATAGGCGGTGACCTAAGGCATGGGCAGGAAAAGGACTGCCTAAGCACTTGTTTATTGTAACGTTCCACAATGTAACTGATCATTGGGCAATAAAGTTTATTTACCATGCAACTAAAACACTTCATCCGTGATCCACTGTTATAGTCCAGATATAGGATTTAGAATTCAGCACCGAGGGGTTAAAGACATACTACATGCAGATCTTATCACATTATTCATATTTCAAAAAATCACATAAAGAAAGTGATTGTTTGTTGTTTCAGCCATCATCTGTGGATACCGCGGAACTTTTGAAGGATACTCGAAAGTACTTTGAAATTGTCATAAAGGCAATGAAAGAATGTTAGTATATTCACTGCAAACGTAGGTTTCCTGAGTTTTACAAAAAAGGGGATACATATCACTAAATTGAGAAAGATTTTGAGTTTTAGTTCCAAAAGTAATAAAAGTTTTCATATAACTTGAAGTTTATCTTGAAGCAGACTTCGAAGTAAAACGCCAAGAAAACTTTCACTGACCAGGGTTTATTGTCCGTTGATTAAATTACTAGCTGCATTCAGGTACATTTTAGTCTTACGTGTAATGTTATAGTATGATATTCTTCTTATCAACTGTGTGCAAATGCGGATCGTGATACAGAAAGTTGTTAATACTTCTGTTAAATCACAGAAAGTGTTTAACAGAGGAATTGATAACAGTGTTAAAATCACTTAAAAGTGTGAAACAGCCTGTGAAAGATTGGAGCTCGTTTAC